GGAGGCCACTCGCATGATCAGGGACAGCAGGGCAGGCCCTATGAGGAGAGACTACAGGACCTGAACCTGTTCAGCCTCCACAAGAGAAGGCTGAGGGGGGATCTTGTGGCCTGTTATAAACTAGTCAGGGGGGATCAGCAGGCATTGGGGGAGTCCCTGTTCCCCCGAGCACTGCCAGGAGTGACCAGGAATAACGGTCACAAGCTGGCAGAGGGTAGGTTTAGGTTAGACATCAGGAGGCGATATTTCACAGATGGGCGGCTAGGGTCTGGAACCAACTTCCAAGGGAGGTGGTGCAGGCTCCTACCCTGGGGGTCTTTAAGAGGAGGCTGGATGAACACCTTGCTAGGGTCATTTGACCCCAGTACCCTTTCCTGCCATGGCAGGGGGTCGGACTAGATGATCTGCTAAGATCCCTTCCGACCCTAGAAACTATGAAACTATGAAACCAAGCACTCAGACCTCCGTGCAGACACATCAGTGTTGCTATGCTCAGTCCAGCTGCACTGAAGTATGGGAACAGTTCACAAGTCAGGGGAGGTGCACAGCAGCAAGCTAGGGGTGTGCACGCCACGGAGATCCCTGTAGAAGGGACTTGGGGTACGAGGCTGGTATTGTCCAGGTTTGGAGCTTTGAAGCACACCCTTTCCCTTATTAACCCCAGCCCCCTCCCAGGGTTTTACCATATTGCTCTCGGCAAACATTACACTTCAGCAAGGAAGGCATTAAAATGCTCCATGTGGCGTCACTCTCTAGGTGGCTGCTAGAAGCTCACATTAGGGCTATAGGAGAGCAAGGCAGTTTGTTGCTCTTTTAAATCGGAGAGCAACTGCAACCACCACGCCCAGGACTTTGTGTACTGAAAGGTTATCATATCGGATCATATTGTTGTCACAGGAAGATAAACACCCTAATGGGGATAATAATACTTCCTTTGGCCCTGCCTTTGTTTAGATTGAAAGCTCTTCAGGAACAGGGACTGTCTCCTGCTATGCGTCTGTACGGCAACTAGCCCAGCACACCCCTTTTCCTCAAGCCTCCCAGGCACAACTGAAACGCAAAAACCACTACTTTCCTACCACTGATACATCAACACCCCACATTTTGTAACCACTCTGCGGTAAAAAATTCAATTCCTTTATTTTTTTAAATGAAGGACCCTCAACCCCCCCGCCCCAAGTCTTTGGTTAGTGTTGCACCTCAAATTAAAAGGCACTTTATACACAGTTTTTTTTAAAGACAACCAAAAACACTTTTTTCAGGGACACAAGGATTGCCTTATACCCCAAAATTGCCTTATACCTGATACTTGGGCACACTTCCTGTCCTAAGCTGTTGTGTAGCTTTTAATGAGTTGAAAAAAATCCCTTCTAAAGATGACTGTGTTTCAGTGGAAGGTGAACACTTTTTTTTTGCCAGCTAGCTTCTGTCTGCTCTCCTACAGGCTTTCTAGTACCAAGCACCTGCTAGAATGTAGCTTGAGCCGCCTGTTTGGCTAGAGAATTCCCCCCCAGATGGATGGGGTTTAGGATGGAAAGTATCTGATTGCCCCAAAACTCCTTTGGTACGTACAGACATTTGGAGAGGTTAGGGAGACGGTTAGATCAAATTAAAAATCGACAACCCCATCAAAGGTAAGTTGGGATGGGGCAGATTAGCAGGGGGGCTTGGGGAGACTGGAGGGACAAGCAGGGTCCATCGCGGGGTTGGATTGGTGAAGGGCAAACGGGAAGACAGGGCAAGTGGGCTAGCAGAGTCTGTAAGGGGGATCAGGAGAACAAGTGGGGACCATGGAGGGGGAAATCAGAGGGACTGGCAGAGCTAGTGGGGGGTTGGTGGGGACCAGGAGCCAGTGGGCTCCACAGAGGGCTTGGAGGGATCGGTGGGGTAGATGGGAGCCTCAGAGGGATTGGGGGGTTTAGAAGGGCTAGTGGGATCCATGGGTGGGGGGCTGGGGGATGGTAGAGCTCTCCACCCTCCCAAGGACCAGGGGTTATTTTTAGGCCCCTGCCCCCCC